TCGGTAATTTCGAATACGAAACGAAATTAATTTCGGACCGAAAGCGAGGCGAAACCTTAACAAGTTATTTCTTGATTATACAAACACGTCTTGATTCACCTTAATAAAGCTGTCAACAATCATTTTCACATTTAAAACGCTCGACGACCTTCCGCCCAATTTGTGGAACAATTCTTCCGGCAAATCGGGGATCCTCTCGGAAAAAAAACCAAATCTCCCAATTAGATGAACAGTTTTCAATAATAATTAGGTACTGTTAGTGATATTGTTGGATTAATACAGGTTTAAGTGTTATTAAAATTTGAATATTCGTCCACCCGCTGAGCGCATTCGACTGACACACATGCCGGCGCAAAATCGTGAATAGTCCCGATTGTTTTCCGTAAAATAAACTCGAGTTAATCACAGTAATAAACGTGGAGGCTACACTGACGAGGCTTAACTGTAAACGTCGCTTTTTTTCGTGAACGACAATGCATCAAAACTTGGGCCGGCGGCCGTGCGAGATGCGTTAATTTAAATGTATTTCGTTATCGAATTAACGTGTCCAGTGCGACATTACGGCGAAAAGTCAATTGAAGAGGTCAAATATTACCTACAGGTTTTTACCGGTTTCGGAATTGAAGTTGCAAGACGAGAATAAGCGCGTTTTAATGGCATTATCAATGACCGAATGTGTGTCGATCGTTCGTAAATTGTATGCTATTGCTGGGGTCGTAAACTGATCGAAATTAAATAAATTGCGGTCGTCGATGCTTTGTTAACGTTAACTCCATTACAATTTTACTAGTAATCGCACGTAACAATTTTACAGTAATCGTGTGAAAGCATTTTTAATAAATAGCTTCGCAGGATGAAAATGATTGCGTCCTGTATGAATTAAAACGCTCCAACCGAAAGTGTTGCTGAAGAAAAGCGTAATTTATGTAATAAGCGTAATGATGCGAGCAGCGGGAACTTCAAGCCCCGGCCTATTTTTATAGTAAGGCGGCTGGTGGCGAAAAAGCAGAATTTATTGCGCCGGTCAATCGTCGAGCAGGAACTCGAAACAAAATTGAGTAAAATTTTTACGACGGTCGCGCATAAATTTTCCTTAACCCAATTTAAATGCACGACGAGACGGTTTCAAAAGTGAACAACTCTTCGAGAGATGATTGTAAATATATCTCCGCGAAAAGGATTTGAACAAGAGAACAAGCGATCGGATCGTGTCGTCAAATAACCTACACGAACGCGATTGTGTCCGTCGTTTCGGATTTCTTTCTAAAATTTAACAAAGGCCTTACTGGATATGTAGGTTAACGAGTCTCAAAATAACAGAACGCTTAATCTAAATTACTATCTTAATCGTTTTTTGGGTCATTTTATTGAAAACGGAGATGCTACGAATTTTATATCAACAATAACATGCTTAAGACTAAACCACCGCTCCTTATTTTTGCTACACCGCAAGTTTTACAATCAATACCGGATGTGATATAAGACACAAAATTGCATTATTTAATCTGACGAACTTTTCAACTTTTGGTGACCTAAACTCCAAACTAATTTGCGCTGTTATGATTAAATTACGGTACAAGCACGGTAAATCATCAACGTCTTCTACTTTTTTTTTATTCTTCAGGCTTCAATAATATCCTGTCTGTGATTACTCAAGTTTTCACGGCATTGCCTCGGGAGGAAATCCGAAGATACAGAAGACGTGGTAGTCGCCTTGAAAGGCCGTTGGTCATTGAAATATGTGATATTAAATTGTAGGACCGTACTCATTCTAACAACCGTGTGAATTTTTATAAAATAACTGATAAACATGTGCCATAAATAGTTTTAGCTTTAAATAGCAACAACTCATTTACTTAAACGCTTTTACGCTTTAAAAATAAGTACATTCTAAATAACTAAAGAACATCTAATGATGTTCTGAAAAAAATTTAGTCAGGTACGATCCTGGCAAGTAAAATGCATTTGTAGTGACCAGTAGCCGTTCGACCGGTTGCACCAAATTATATTTCGAAAAGACTAATTCATTATGAGGATACACATACAAACACACACAAGCATTCAAGGTCTGCTTTGATAAATTATATAGATTGCATACACAGATAATGATTGTGTGCGTTATAAGACGTACTGACACTGGATAAGGCAGCGTTGCCAATAATAGGGTTTCGGAAAATCTGCATAATGATCTGAATATTGTTAAATGATAATGATCGTACGTTAAGTTAATAAGAGATTAATTTGTATAATTTTATCGGTTTTTAAGTAGCGATGATCGCGGCCAATTTTTTTGCTCGACCATCAGAGAACTCTGTGGGAATAAAAATTTGAGGTATAGGTACCGTTAGTTAGTAATTTTATCTAAAAATTTACAATATAATTAATCACTTTATTATTGGATCCGGTTTGCTATATCCGCTTCCAATTTTTATACATAGGACTAATGTTTCTGCTCATACTCGTTAGGGCGTGTATACCGGTCTTACTTAGCTATTATAATATGAATACATTTACTGCCTATCTTTTGATATAAATTAAATTTGAATTATTATGCACAATGTACGCTATAGGTTGCATAAATCACAAGGCCAATTTATAGGTACTTGCACCCGAGAAAGTTTTCCTGTCTAACCTACAAACAAATTCATCAATTTACAAAAGTAATTGTCCGAAAAAACCCGTGTAATTAGTGTAAAAAAGGGATGTTTTAGAAGAATTACTTGTGGAATAAATCATCGTTTATACCATTTACAAAGGAACAGTGCCAAGGCATATTGTGGCTTTCACAAATTTTACGATACAGCACAAAAGGGCCGTGCTGCCGGGACGTCATAAAAGTTTAAAGAAAGTCACTAATTTTTGACCATTTCGAATCACTACAGACACCATTATAGGTCTTAAATGTACCGTTATACGAGAAAAAGCGGGCCTGTAAAGCGAACATAAAAATTTTCCATTCCCTCAGCCTAATTATTCGATAAATCAACACTAATAAAGAATACCAACATTTTTTAAAAGCTCAAAAATTCGTTGCAAAATTGAATTTGCAATGAAATTCTGCTCTGCGATGGCTAATAATTCATTGTTACTGCAAAAGGAGCATAAAATTTTATGGGGTGCGGGTAGGTGCCTCAAGTAAAGTCACGCCGCCTTACATATGAATATCTGCGATGGTTTTTAGTTGCAAAAAATTAACAATACGCCATAAAACGGGTAACCAACAATTTGACCACTTCTTCGGAACAATAATTTATAACGAAATAATAGAAGCGCAATCTTCGGCGTGGGCGCGCAAGGTGTGCAAAGTCCTTTATAGTGAACGCACTCAGCAAAACATTTCCTAATGAATTCGTACGCCAACTACAAGCTGTAAAAATTCAAAAGTCATTTCGTTGTTTCTGTAGGGTCGATTTTGCAAAAATCGAATTGAAAGAGCACGCACAGCGATTTTTAATTTTTGTAACAAATGACCGCGTAGGGGCCATCGCTTAGGTGCATCCTACGATTTATATTTGCTAACAACTTTTATTTTCCCGTTACTTATTGTAATGTAAATAATATTGCGAAAAAGATTTGTTGCATTGTTTCGGATCATCAAGCGTGTAATCTTTGTTTACAAAACTACGGCTGCAATTTATTATCCTATCATTTAGAAATGTTTGGTTGTAAATAACATGAAAAGCCTAATCGAATTAGAACAATTTTCTGAAATATTTATAATTCATTTTGATGGTGGTAATAAATGCTTGATTTTTACATTCAAACACCTGCCTCTTTCGGAATCGTTTTAATGCAAAATAAAGCTCATTACTACACCTATAAATAAAAAAATATCGGAATTCGAAAAAAAAAAATCCATGACTAGCGGGTAATAAAATGAGCCAAAGGGTAATAAAGTACTTAAACGAATATGCGTTGCTTTTATCGTGCGAAAATTCTTTAAATTTACTGATCTTAAAAAATCCCTGATAACATCTGACAAGTGAACTGGAAAAATAACCTCGTAATTAAATTCCTGAAATAATAGATACACTCTCGATAAAAATTTGTAAGAAAATGTTCACTTTTCTTTTCCTATTCACCTACTTTTAACAGCGAATCGGCACTAATCAATTATCATCCTGGCAGGTACTATCTCGGATTTAAACAGTTTTTATGGAAAAGATTATCTTATGATTTACAGCTGTCGTTTTTTGCCAATTTACTGGGACAAAGAGAAACTTGCCCAGATATATGTTGTTTACTTGTTTTTGATTGCTAAAATGCGCGCCAACATGATGGATAGTTCAAGTTTAATAATTTTAAAAAAGTGAAATTTTTTACTTATGCAGTTATAAAAGTTAATGGAAACTGGTGTGTCTCATTATGCACTTTCGAGAAAATTTATTTTTTTCGAACTTCGACAGGGCGTCTCTATGAAAAATCAATTAGACTATTTTTTTATTTAAATGTTCTCAATGAACACTATACTGTTTGTTTTACTTAAAGTAAAAGATTTTATATGAATAATTACGATAATTTGACAAAAAATGTACCTAATTCTCCCAAGATATCTTAGAAAATTTTCATTCTTTTATAGTATCTTTAAAAAAATTAAATTCACATTAATAATTAAATAAGTTGTTAAAATGGTAAATTCTGTAATGTATGCGAGATAACTTGACCACCTTGTACAAACCCACAACACTGGATATTTCCAAAACAGTATTAATTATGATGATGCAGATTACGATCAAAATACATTTCTGCGACTCTCTACACATAAACAATACCGATATATCGATTATGATCGATAACTGAAGAAAGTCGATCGCAATCTCGATTTACGCAAAAGCCATTGATTCGGCTTAAGCGATTATTAACAAAAATGGATTTTTTTCATACAAAGTTTACATAACTTATTGTTCGGGTTTTAAAAATTTCGCTTTATAAGACACACCTTGATTGATCGCTGAAGCCATTAAAGAGTCATGTTTGAAAACAACTAAAATTTTAAATAACTTTTACTTAAATTTATTTTACTCAAATTTTTCTCTAAGCACTACATGAGTAGTTTCTTTCTGCTTATTGATTGCGACAATAATTGCGGATTATTTGAATAGTTTGAAGTTCAGTTTCTTACAAATAATAAAAGGAGCAACAATCGATTGAAAACCATCCTCCCAACGTTGTTTCTCATGGCTTTCAAAGCGTTCTCATTCGTGTCATCTTCCGATTCCATACTTTCTTTAATAAACTCTAAATGTCTATCTAACCGCGAAATCACCAGCGGGTAATTATTCAATCGGAAACTGGAAATCGCCATCAGCGTGTCGTTGCAAAACAGCGGTAGACCCTTTTCCGAAAAAATGATCTCCTCACCGCTCCTGTTCTCGGCGTCGTCCAAACACTCGTGCTCGATTTCCGTCACTTCAAACTTATTGGCGTTCTTGTACTTTTCAATGCAATCGTAAAAATTCGGGAACCCCACGTACTGGCACACCAGCTCCAAAAAATTCTCGGTTAAGGTCCATTTTATCAGCGACGTGTCGGTTTTGCAGAAGGTAAACGTTATGTCTTCCTCCAATTCTGTTTCCGGGATGCGAGCGGGAGTGACGTGTTTTAATGGATTTTTTATATACAACATCGCCAGATTGTTTGCTAATGAGGATTCGTTGAATTGGGGATGGATGACGATGCTGGTTACGGCATACAATTGACCGCGGTAATTTAGTAAGTTTTTTACTAAAAATTAAATTGGGGAGATTGGAATATGTTAATTAGGAAGCGGGAATGGTTACCTATTTCCGGACCGGTTCCAATAAACAGATCTTCAGCTTCTTCCTTATGGAATAAATCCGCTACAGTTATGACCCAATTCAGGCTAAGGGAGATTCCCCCGCTGACGTGCACAGTTTCATTGTTACCTTTTTTCCTAATGGATACCAAGGATGTGGGATCGCATTCGTCCGCATCCTCGCTCAAACATTGAAAAATTCCGGTTGATAATACGAAGATGAATAAAAGCCTTTTAAACATTATTTTTACCTATGACATTCTCTAACGAATTTGCGACAGTTGCTTTAAATACGTCAAGTGTGTCACATTAAAACCAGGGTGAAATTATTACAGGAAAGTTGCAGCTATAAAAATTAATTTTCTAATCGGCATTTCTGCTAAGTAGCGTATGGAAAATAATAACTAAGCGTTTCTACAAATGGGAAACGACCATTAAATTTTTACCTACTTACTAAAAAACCATCTGTTTGCAATATGTTTCTGCATGTATTAATTGCGGAATTAAGCGGATCCCTGTTAATCCCCGAGTACGAATTTCGATGTCAACGCCTCGAAAATGTCTTTTTTGACCCGGCGCGTTCAACCAGTTTTTTCAAGTTTACCCGTCTTTTCGATCGATTCGTCTCTATCTACATAATTTAAATCGATGACATAACCAGTAGCCGCCGGAATATAGGCCAATCACGCACGGCACATCCGATATCGAATTAAAATTAATGTAAATTTTATCAGTCGCAATTAAATAAATTAACTCGTCGATTAACGGGTGATTAAAGGACTGCGTTCAATCAAAGAAGAAACGCTTATGTTCGAGAGTATTAAAAATGTTGAAATTAAAAGGTTGAGGTGCTCTAAGCCCTCTGTTAATTCCTGGCACACGATAAATTTTCGCGATTTTTTCGGAATCGTCCGCTCGTTAAAATCATAAATCTCGCGAATAGTTATTCAACTGTCTGGTAACGTCGTGTTCTTCAAGTTAGTGCATCACCTCTTTTGTTTTATGCACAGATAACTCGATCTGAATAAATCAGCGGAAAGTTATTTCCCAGATCGATGCACTCTTTAAAGGTTTCACTTAGGAGCATCGTTAAGAAGCGCTGGGATTAAGCGCGACGCCGATTTCGGTTCAGTAAAAAGAAGAAAAAATAAACGTTATAGAAAAATCTTACGGGAGAATGCAGAAAATGTAACTAACGATAACAATAAATAAGGTTCTGCTTGCGCTGTACGCAAATTTACATGTTGTGCATGAATATTGCATTGGTTGTTGGACGAAAAACTCGTTTCTTTTCTCCGGAAACGCCAACCCGAGAACAGCTTTAAAAATTCTGCATCTAAATTCGGTAGCAAAAAATACCAACGCCTAATCAACATGTAAATGAGTCGGTTAAAAATCGGAATTAAATAATCGTCAACATTGTTGTGTTAATGTAAGAGGTAATAAAATGACAGTGAAGTAGAAAAATACCCATTAACGCGTGTTTAATAAATTTAGTTTTTTTCCGTAACATTATGCAATCTAAATTCCACGTAAAAACAACCTAACTGTACATACTGAAATTTCATCAAATCAACATGACTATCCGAAAATCCTTTATCAATTCCCACATTGGTGAAGACGATTTCTTGTGATGCAACTCCGATGATTTCGGACCATTATGATAAATCGTAGGTACAATAAAATATGCAAGTTCATGTTCGAAAAACATTGTCAATGTTAAGGTTCATTAAGCCAACTACTAAATTCTTTCCTTATAGGAATTTCAACGGTATTTTCTAGCGTGTTAAAAAATTTAGGATGGATTATTGTTGGTTCGATTTTTGTCGATTCATATGCTGGAATGTCGATTTAATTAAAATAATGAAGTGTTTTTTATGGTGAAACGAATTTGCATTTTGGTTAATAAATTGCATCAAATTTAGTTTGCTTATGGATTTCAACGTCTCTGCACTTTTGACCCATAAATTAAAGTACTGACGTTAAATTTTTAATTCAACGAATCCTTTATGAGCCTTATAATTGAAGGAAACCTTCGAAGTCATCGAACAGAAATGTCGTTGTAACAATGCGGTAAATAACATCCCAAAGAAACGATTGACTGTTAATCAGTATGATCCGAAAATGAACATCATTGTTCGATTTTAATCGACGCCTGAAATGGCTGCATTAATTCACTTCCGAAAAAGTAAAAGGAAATGTTTCACTTTTGTCACTCAATTCAACAATGAAAATTTCAGTATACAAAATGAGCATCTCATTCCTATCTCTCAGTGTCGTTACAGAAACTATACTTCCCTAAGACATTGTTGTATAATTGCAAAACTCGTATACGCCACTGTTAATAAAACATTTAAACATCCAAAAACTGAAGGCTCGGTGTTTTGTTCCTCACAACGCGTGACTGAAATCGAAAGAAAAAAATCAACCGGAGAGGAATAGCTTTCATCGATTAATTGATTTTTTTCCGCGAACGATCCGGCTAGAAAAATGCGCGAATTCGTGATGATCGTGCGGCGCAATTTAAGATATTTTTCAAAATGTTGTTTGTTGTGGTAATTAAACACTTCATGTTTCGGTACGACACGGCAAAAAAACAAGGAGTTCTTTCTTCATAACGGGAAATTCCGAGAACGTCGAAAAAGAAGAAAAATCGATGAAACGCTGGGAACTGGGGAACGAAAGTAGAGTACCGCCTAATGTGGAGAGATGTTTGAATAATTTTTAATGAGCGCGCTTTGTAAACCAAACAAAAATTGCTGCTTCGTGAAGTTTACTTTTCAATGCAAAGCGATGCATCTGAAACTAAACGTCTTAATCTTAAGTATCAACTCAAAGGATCTACTACTAACAGAAAAGAGAGTTAATTAGATAACTAATTTAATAATCTCATCAATCCACCGTTAATCCAACTGGGAAAATTTCATACAGAGTGATTAAACCTCCTTAATTTTGTGTGGTACAGAAAAAAGTCTTGAGTCTACTAAGCTTTTACTATCACACTGTATAAGCGTTGAACTTAGAAGAATTAAACGAAAACTACCATATACGATCACTGCAGTAAGCACTATAAAAGCAAAACAAATAATTTACTCCGCAATCAGTTTTAATTAAACACGGTAAAGTAACTGATTACCTACAGGAAGAAGGCATATGCAGCGAACAAGTTCAAAAATTACGGACCCCCCTCAAGTTTAAAATTAAACCTACTGTTATAAATTTGACCGGCTTTAAACGAACGTCCTACTTGCGAAATCTGACGGATTTTTCTCGGTTTATAAATCGCCGAGCTCGCAATAACTGGCTAGTTGTTGATAACAGTTCGACGGCGAACAATTTTTTAATAGCATCGGCTCGCAACGGCAGATGTTTGGTACATATGTATTCACAATAAAAAAAATATGTCGGAATGATTGTAGGCTACAGGCCACTTTACTATCAGATCGCCGTCATATGGTAGATGAATTACTTCGCATCGTTTCGGATTAGCCATGCAAAACAATGTTGTTACATCGTACTGTAAATCGATCCAAGTACTAAATTCAACTCGTAGCTTATTAGGTACAGGCTTATAAATATTCATATAGTGTTTTTTTTATCAATATTTTAATTAACGAAACCCAACTAATGTCATTCTTGCGGCGACGCACCTAAACAAATATCGCTGATTGATTACTTATCTGTTAGGTGCGCGAATTTAAAAAAAAATAAAAATCTTACCTTGGAAACGTTTCGGCTTAAGTGACTTTTGGAACTCAACCTTGCGTTTTACCACTGAGCTGGGTACTGGGCACTGAAAAAAAAAATCGATATAAAAGGGCGGTGAAGTAACGAATGAAACGTTACAGCGCTGTTTCAAACAAAAGGAATTTCAATGTCCAATGACAAAATCTATTCGACACGCCATATCTGGGTCAATAGATAATAGAAACAGATTTATATAGCTACAGGTCACTAATATACCATTGTATAGTGCAGCGTACACTTAGGTGTTAAGTTTTTTTTATTGATCGGCTGATAGACAGATACCTTAATTCAACAGACAAAGTATGTACCGAATAGTACTCATGTACATGTAAATTACGTTATATTGTTTATTGAATTTATGTTTAATAATGCAACAGATGCGCTACACAATGATTCTTCTTAGTGTAAAAAACATGATTCAACAATAAAAATTAATTTTATTGTCAGCAGATCAAAAGAGGATTAATTTCGGCTTTACATTTGAAAAACCAAAATGTTTATTAATCCACAAAATGGTGATATAATTCAGCTAACGCGAACGTGGGCGATAATGCGATAATAACTGGGCCTTTCTCCGGCTGCAGGAATTTTTACCAGATATGCGAGGCTGCGTTTCCTGCTGAATTTGGTAGTAAAATAAGAACGAGTTTACAGTGAGGAATATCTCTCATTACCGAAGAAACGTTATCAATTTTTCTTATCACCTACTGGTTCTAAAATGCAAATCGAGTTTTAAAAAGCCGATCTTGCTGGTATGAAATACATAAAATTTGTATCGCCATTAAGTGACATTTCCTGCGATACGAAGAATGTTCGAATGCTTTTTTTACGCACTGAGAGGAATGATCCATTAACATCGTCAAAACTTTAACTTCCTGCAAAAATTGTAGTTATTATTTTTTCGGTGGAGTCGACAGGTAAAATTGCGGCAAACCTAAAGTCAATAAAATTTTATGGATATTCCAAATACTCTTATTACTGGGACGATGGCAGTAACGGCCCAAGTGCCTGAGAGTAAGCCGAATTAAACCCGGCAAATAAGTAGGTATAAATATTTTAACAGCAACCTCTTCGACCAGAGCAAAGATTCCGAAAAATATTTAAATCATGGTTATAATCGTGGTTTAATGAGTGTAGGTAAGCAAAAAAATATGCACAACTTGCGTTTCTCATTTGATTTGTTCTCAAAACTTTCCAAAGACTGTGCATTAGATAAGTAAGTAGGAAAGCTTCTTTTTTTCGGTACGGTATTATTAAATTTCTAATCTGAAGCAAGAGGAAAATTACACAAATAAGATGATCGCTAAACTAATGCTCGTGACGTATTTTCCAATATAATTTGGCCCGTAAAACTGGGATAATAACAAAAATAAACAGCAATTTTAAAAAGGAGAAGAAACGAACTCAAATGAATGATTTTTAGCTGAATTAGACTAATTTAAATTAAACTTTCTCCTTTCCAACAAAAACTTCATATTGAACCTATACCTATTTAACGAGTA